GAGGCCTGTTCATTGCCTTGGCGGAGAGGAGGAAGCAAGCCGGTGCGCCGCACGGGGGGTCTAGGACAGAGTCAAGACAGTGACAGTGACACAGCCTGCGATAGATGCAGCTTGAAGCCAGACACACCGCAAGGTATGTAGAATTTCGAGCTTCCACAGGAGTAGCTCAAGCGTTCATGTACGAGAGTCAAGACTGGAGTGACCTCTGAGGCTGAAAATTCAGAGTCAAGGCTGCGTGCAACGCATGCGGATGAGTATTGATCGGCGTGCTCATTCAACTACTAGTACTTACTACTCAATACTAGCCGCTGATTGAGGGACTCAGAGGAAGCTAAGTACCACTAACACGAGCAGGTTGACCGGTCAACGAGGGTAGAGAAGAGAAGACAAGTACTGTTGAAACGATTCAATTTCAACGCGAAGTCCGCCGCGACGAACAATCACGTGAGCCGCGTCCGTGATCAGGCAAGGCGTCCGGGTTTTCTTCCTCCTCCTCCTCCGTTCAGCATGCACCTCCACTCGCGACCAGATCAATTGCTAGCTCACCTGAGCCTCCATGCTCCTCGCTAGACTGCAGCACTTTAGGTCTCCAGCGCGACGCTTGGCAGCGAACTACGCCCCGACACTCCGAAGAAACATGTCGTCCGAGCTCCCACAATCCTCCATCCCGCTCTTCCCTACGGTCGGATCGTACAGAGAATGGCGGAGGAGGGCATACGACCAGAAGAAGTCTGTCGGATTCGTCGCGACGATGGGCGCATTACATGAGGGACATCTTTTGCTCGGTGCGTACCGCCGGAAATCGTACGTTTTCGCGTGCTCATGCATTCCCTGCCTGTTCAGTCCGCCGCTCATTAGCCGAGAACGACCTCACCGTACTCTCGATCTTCGTGAACCCCGCCCAGTTTGCGCCCCACGAAGACCTCGCGACATACCCTCGCACGCTCCCGCGCGACCTCGAGCTGCTCTCCACCCTCTCCGTCTCCGGCCGCAGCCCCGCAGCGGTCTTCGTGCCGACAGTTAGCGAGATGTATCCAAGCGGCATCGTACAGAGCGTCGACCAACAAAAGGGCACGTTCGTAGAGGTCAAGGGCTACGGCCACCAGATGGAGGGCAGGACGCGCCCGACGTTCTTCCGCGGGGTCGCGACGGTCGTCACGAAGCTCTTCAACGTCATCGAGGTACGCGCATTTCTCGAGGATCTGAGAAGGCCAGCAGGCAGTAACGATTGCACAGCCCACGCGCACGTACTTTGGGCAGAAGGACATACAGCAGGCGCTGCTGCTTCGCAGAATGACACGCGACCTTCTGCTCTCACACCCCGAGCCCGAGAACCTCTTCATCGTTCCCACCGCCCGGTGAGTGTGTCGTCGATGTGCTGGTAGTGGTTCTGACCGCGTTCGTGCAGAGATCCCAAGACGTCTCTGGCGCTGTCCTCCCGCAACGCCTACCTGTCGGACCACGAGCGAGAGAAGGCCGCCCCCGCGCTGTACGCCGCTCTCGATGCAGCCAAGTCTGCATGGGAGGCGGGCGCACCAAAAGTCGAGTGCATTTCGCGCGCACAGGCCGTCGTGGAGCAGAAGAAGGCCGAGCTCGGGGACTCCGTCGACCTCCGGCTGGACTACATCGAGATGAACGACCCGGAGACCTTCGACGAGCTCGACGCGGGCACTTCCCGTGCAGACTGGGAAGCAGAAAGGGAAGGGCGCCCATTGATCATCAGTGGGGCGATGTACGTCGGGAAGACGAGGCTCATCGACAACGTCGTGGTCGGCGCGCGACGTACCTTGGGCATAGTCGATTGAGTACGCGGCAACTCAAGGATGGCACGCGACCGCCAAAGGTCGACGCAGAGATCTTGCGCGTGTACGAATATATCTCCTTCGCTTGGCAGCGTAGAAAGCCCTAGTACTCTAGCTCATTCCCGTCCGAGGGTTTCACGATGAAGGGACGGTGCGCGAATAGCTTTGGTATGATTCATGTCCCTCCGAAGGGCACGTTGAAGTGATGTCAGGGCTTCCATGGGCATGGTACGAGAAGGGGTTATTGTTTGCTTGTGGTTCAGCGCAAAAAGGAAGTTCAGCACGGACACGACACCAGTAGGGTTCGAACCTACGCTCTCAAAGAGAAACAGATAAATCGACTATCGCTGTGCAAATTCTAATCTGTCGCCTTAACCACTTGGCTATAGTGTCATGCAGGGACTATAATGACGTGAGTATCGGCCAGTATGCCAGGCTCCTACCCACCCGCTGCTTCGAGTTGAGGGGCAATATCTCTGAGGAGGGCTCAGGTGAAGTCCGAGAGCGCGGACTCAGGCTGGACTCTACATAAGCGCCAATCATCACGTGCCAAGTTCAGCCCCTCAACTCTCAGCAGCGGCTGGCACCAAACACACGTAAATAACGGAGGACGGATCCGAGACGCTCGTGTTCTACCCCATTTGGAAGCTCGGCAGGGGTCGGCGGCTACAGGTATATTCTGCACTTGTCGACCTGACAGCTCCCCGATGCCCTTCGGAGTTGGTCCATATCATGTATGCAGCATGATAACTCTACCACGGGTGTTGCTTAGAGGTTAGGGGCAGAGAACATCGAAATGACTGTGGTCTTGACCGCTTACCATATGGAGGAAAGATGGGCGTTTCTGCTCCGTCCTCCGTTATTTACCTGTGTTTGGTGCCAGCCGCTGCTGAGAGTTGGGGAGTAAACTTGGCACGTGATCTGTTGGCGCTTGGAGGATTCAGGCTTGCG